AAGCCATCCATGACTCTTTCACTACAAAAGAAGCAGGCAACCTGGTCCTCTCTCTCGATAACTTTGCTTCCAGAAAGAAAAAAGTCGCTGCTTATCGCTACTTTGTCCGAAAATGCAGCAACAACATCAACAGCAACAACCACCTCTGATCTGACATCCATTCATACCTAAACAAAACCCATGAAAATCGCTCCCTGCTTAATACTTTAGTTATTATAGTTAAGTGAGGTTAACCTGTAATGCTTTCTTTGTTGCTTAATTTTCTGAACTGGGTGAGAGGTAAAAGCTCTTAGCTTTGTTTGTTCAAGTACTTTTGGTGTAATTGGTACTAGGCAGTGGTTATGGTATAATGTTTCTATAATGTACAAGATGAACAAGAAGAGTGGGATTAATGTATGACTTGGTATAGAAGGAAAGCAATTAGTTTTGCTCACATCATATGTAATGCAACTGTTTGTCTGTCTTTTTCCCTGTCTTCGTCACCCATTGATGCACACTACCTTGTCTCTCCGCGCCAAACATTCTCGCCAAAAAATTAAAAAAAATTGATTTCCTGAATATATGGCGACAAGTTTATTCAAGAATTTTACAAGTTTGAACTCATTCTTTTCATAATGAAGTTTATTTGGGATTATATAACATGATTTGAGCAATATTTTTGGATAGAAAAGTTGTAAGGCATGTTTAGAATGATTTATAAATAATTTTTAAATTATAATTTATAAAATATAAAATAAGTATTCTTACATAAAATGTTTTATAAGTGTTCAAGTTATTTAAGAAAACAAGAGAATGATATCACGGTGATTTGAAGAATTCAATCCTCTCGTTTTTGTTTTTTCAATGTCAAGATCGTCAGTCCTCTTAAGATAGCAATGCATTCAAATTCAATTCCCCCCCCCCCCCTATTTTGACAAATTTAGGTAGCAATCTAGTGAGACATTATTGTGTCGGACTGGGAATTCATTGAAAAAAAAAAAGGCTGACACAAGTCAATATATCGTAAATTATTGCTTTAATAATAACTTATTAGATGATAAATATGGATACCAGCCCATTTTATTAACATCTGTAAAGTGGGAAAAATCAACCACATCACTTGCTGGATATGAATATCATTCAATATGATCTTCATGAGTTTTAAATGGCTAGGCCTTGGAATTTTGTATGATAGAAAATTATGGATAATAGAACAAAACATAACAAGTCAAATTAATATTATGGATGATGATTAATATAACTCATACAGCACAATGGAAAGATGAGTGTGGGACATAATACAAATAAATGAGATGTGAAAAAATGAGTTAGTTGGAGAGGAAAGGTGAGTGGTTAAGAAAAGTGAAAGGAGATGATGGGGTGATTGAATAACAGATTTAGATGGATATTTGAAGAGAAGGTTGCTTTGGTTTTTGATGCTATTATGAACTCCTTCACTGGTCTGGTCCTCACTGGTAACGTGTTCCTTCAGCTATTTACTTGCCTTCTCTTTAATTCACTTCTTGTTTTGGACACTGAAAGTGACTCCCAAATATGAATTGTGAGATTCACTCCTCACAACTTAGCATGGCTTGGATTATATATCTTCTTCATATTTACTTTTAGCTTGTTTAGAATTTAGATACTTATAATCATGTTTTACATAATTCAAAATAAAATTTTTCTTACATATTTATCTCATGTTCCTAGTCAGAAATACTAAAAGAAGAGTAATCTCATATTTGCAATTGAAAAAGAAATTGTGAACATTGGTTTTTTTTTTTACATTATTTTCACAAATGTTTTCAAGGCAAAAAATGATTCTTGTTAGAGATAATACTCCTCTAGTCCTATTTATAAGGTACTTCTAACATGTTTCACACAGATTAAGGAAAACCTTAAACTGCATTAACTCTCCATTAAAATATAGCAACTTTCTAACTTTATCCCTATTTAATATATACTCCTTTTAAAAAAGAAAACTATTTATACTATAATAAATAAAAAATAAAATAGTACATTCACACTGAAAAATTAACAAGTGAGTATCAACCAACCCAACATTAGCATTAATTAGAAACAGAAAAGGCTTCAAGTTCCGAAGTGGTGTTCACCGGAGAGGAACATGTTGAATGATAGGTCAAGGAAGCAGTGATTACTTGTGGGAGAGGGTGAAATAGAAAAATAGTTACAGTACCACTTATGTTATTTCTTTCTGAGGATGCAGATTGCAGGAGTAGGAGGAGTGTTGTACTGTTTTGACCACGTGAAAAATCATTACAAATTTCAATTAAATAATTGCAAATGCAGGATTCTGCAGTCTGCTTCTGCAATCTGCATCGATCCAAGTGAGCAGCTTCAGAAAACTTGCGTGTATGCAAAGGGACTTTAAATCCAGCTCCATTTTCTTCACTCTGCTCAACAACAAAAAAAAAAACAGAAGTCCATGTTTTCACACCAACAGCAACACATATGGCTCAGTTGTACGTTCGCTATATTATATGAAAAAAATTTCTTGTCAATAAAAAGTGGTTGGCTTACTAAGAAAGCACAAAACAATTCGTATTTTATAAGAATGTGAGTTAAATTGAATTTTATGGTTTATGGTTGTGAATTTGTTATGATTCTACAAAAAATCGTTGAATTTGAGATACAAAATGCTAAATTTTAGTTATGAATACCTCAATTTGAGTTGTTTATTTACACTAAAATAATTGTATTTGGTGGTTATAAATTCTTTCTTGTAAATAGCTGAATTTAGTTATAAATTATCAAATTTGGATTCTTAATTGTGGAATATGAATTGTTTATTCACTTATAAAATTTATGAGGATTGACAATTCCAATTTGGTGATTTAAAAAGAATAAAACAATGGTATCTTTTTCTTTTCACCTGTGAAATTTTGGTCTTTAGTAATGCAATGAACTTTTAGAATTTTTTCGGGCTGATTAATATTAATTATCTAGATTAAATGAAATTTTCCCATTTTTATTTTAATATTAACGTTTTATATTCAATTCACTTCAATTTTTTTATTAAGGAAAACAGATGTTTTATGGAGTTCATAATGAAATCAAATTAATAAAAAAAATTGCAAATTACAGTGAACGATCTGAGGCGAACCTAAAAGTCCGGGAAGTAATCTGGCAGCCATGCAATTCCGGCCGAATCACATACACATGTAACTAGGGGTGTGCATGAAGCCCAAATGCCCGCAGAGCCCGCCCGAGCTTGAAGAAAAATTGCCCAGCCCAGCCCGAAAAAAAAGAGCCCGAAAAAGAATGGGCATCTTTGGGCTGGGCATTTCATGGGCAGGGCTGGGCATCGGGCAGGACATGCTGCCCTGCCCATTTGGCCCTGCCCAGATTATATATATTATAATTTATAAAATAATATTAATATATTACATTTCTTTACCTAAAAAAAATTATCTCCCTCCTCTTTGCAATTTAACTTATTATTATTACATGTCTATTAGTTTTCTATTTTAGGGGATCTAATTCTTCTAAAGAAGCAGTAGTATCTTGTTTTTAACTTGTTCTTCGTGAGCTTTATTGTGCATATCCTATTGTTTGTTGTTGTTGTAGTGTTGGCTATTTATAAGTTAATCTTCCCCTCTATGTCATTAACAACTTTCTTTGTTAGAGAATGGAGTTCATACATTACATATTTGTATAAATAAACAATTTTGAATATTTATGCAAGATAGAAAACAAGATTGGGGCAGGAGCATGGAAAGAAAATTGGGGTTTAATTATCTGAATTATATGTTTTCTATTTAATTTATATTTAGTTATTTTGTATTAATTTTTTATGAACAAGTCATATGATAGAAAGAAGTCTTTTAGTTGTATGGACTGCTAACTGCATTGTATCGCATAATAAGTATTTACATATTAAAAGTCGTTATATTAAATTATTATGAGATTATAAGATTTTTTATTTTTCTTTTTACAATTATTTTCACCCCATTTTTATATGGTCTATGTTATTCCTGTTAGCCTATTGCTTCAGTTTTAATATCTTTTTGCAATCCTTTAGGTAGCATTTAATTTTTGCCACTTAAATGGATAATCAAGTTTCTATTACATCGCCATCCCTGGCTCCCAATGGAATATCTCAATGTGCTTCAACCCCTCTTCAATTTTTTCAGATGTTTTATTCTTTTCTCAACTTTCTGGAGATTAATGCAAACCGTTTGAATTTCAAGACTTTAATTACAATCTTGAGAGTTGTTTTGTTCTAAATAGATTATGAATATTATTTATTTGGATATTTTCTAAGACTTGTTTTGAATTATTTTTGGATAATTTTAATGTGTGAAAATATAAAATTATGAAATGTAATTTTCAGGTATGGATGAAAGTTTTTTTACATGTGATATCGGTAGGTCATCACCATTTGAGCAGCAAACTCGCCCTGCCCAGCCCGCCCATGCCCAGCCCAAAATGGTTAGGGCTTCTATGGGCAGGGTCGGGCAGCGGGCTGCAAAATGCAACCCGTTCATGTTTCGGGCTGGGCATCGGGCAGGGGTTCTGCCCTGCCCAGCCCTGCCCATGTGCACCCCTACATGTAACTCCTTTTCATATAAAGGGGCATATTACCCGTACTTAACCCATACTTTGTTCTATTCTTATTTATGCCCCAACAAAAATGAGCTTGGACGCTCATCTAAAGAGAGTGGGAGATAAGCCAATGTACAGTAACATAAGAATTTCATAAAATAATACGTGGACATGCATGTTTGTTGGCAAATGCAAGCGGTGTTTCATTGTTCCTTGCTCACGATCTGAAACACGACGCATCTGGAATTTAGTATTAATAGTAATGAATAATGAAACGTGTGAATGGGAACGTGTAAAAGAGCTAGGCCTGAAGAGTGTACACATCCACAAATGGCCATCAACAACGCGTACGTGCCTTGCATGCAAATTGGCCACTTGTCCCTAAGATTCCCATATTTGTTGCTATAAGCTAAGATAGGAACAGATCAAACACCATCTTAACAGATCGTACAGAGATGGCACAAGCAAGTGATCAAGCAATTAAGCCACATGAAGAGCTAAACTCACAGTTTTTTAAGCTTCTGAGTGGACATACCATACCTGCTGTTGGACTGGGTACTTGGAAATCTGGTTCCCAAGCTGTCAATTCTGTGTTCTCTGCCATTGTTGAGGTAATTGTCTTTACTATTCCTGTCTTTTTAGCAGTTCCATCGCTTCATGATCTTCTGTTTAAGAACATGTAGATCTTGGGGTACGAAACAGTACAGTATAACCAAACAAAGTTAACTTATTACATTCTTTTGTGACAATCACGTGGAATCTGATAGATGGCTCACTTGCAGGCTGGCTATAGGCACATCGACACTGCTTGGGAATATGGTGTTCAAGAAGATGTATCATTATATCATTTTGGCCTTTCTTCAACTGTTTCGAGATGGATTCTGATATACTAAAACTTTCTATTCAGATAATGAACTAATTTAAAAACAAACATTAGTTTTGTGTCTCTTCAATATCTCCCTGTACTACAGGTTGGACACGCACTTCAGTCTGCCATGCAAGCAGGAGTGAAAAGGAAGGATCTGTTTGTCACCTCCAAACTATGGTAATGTAATCTATTATTATTGATGGCATGTCCATTCATATCAGGTATAAAATTGGTTGGCCTAATCCAAATTTAGTTGGCCTAATAACGCCTTAAAAGTTTCTATATTAGCCCAAATCCGGACACTAATGAACCTATATAGTTATAGGACATAGGTAGTTATTGTATGGTTAAAAATATGAATTTGTTTGGAATTGGACAGTCGAATGAAACATTCATGTTATTGTGTGTGTGTGTGTGAAACCCAAACTATATGCAGGTGCGCTGATTTGACCCCTGAAAGAGTTCGACCTGCATTCACCAACACACTCCAAGAACTGCAACTTGACTACCTTGACCTTTACTTGGTAATATAATTTAACCTTCTCTTGTTGTTATGCTTTCTTCTTCTGCCTGATTATTATTACGCTAAGTATCAGTCTTTTTCTTTTTCCATGATAAGATCAGAAAGAGGGACCTTAATCAAGTTGATGTACAAAAATGCAGATTCATTGGCCATTTCGTCTGAAAGATGGAGCCAAAAGACCTCCCCGTGAGGGAGACGTGTTGGACTTTGACATGGAGGGGGTATGGAGAGAAATGGAGAAACTTGTGACGGATAAACTTGTTAGAGACATTGGAATCTGCAATTTCACTCTTAAAAAGCTTGGTAAACTTCTGGGTTTTGCTCAAATAATGCCTTCAGTTTGCCAGGTGATGATTCATACGTGCATTTATGTCATTGTGCAATAATACTGCTTTTTGTTTCATCGAACCATGGAGATTGATACGAATGCAAGCAATATATTTAGTTGAACGGTTTGATTTAGATGGAGATGCATCCTGGGTGGAGAAATGACAAGATGCTTGAAGCATGCAAGAGGAATGGAATCCATGTCACTGTAATTACTCAATCGTCCAGTGTCTTTTTTTTTTTTTTTTGCATTAGCTTTTAATGTTTCTGTAAAATATAATGTCAGTATTTGGAGCAGTAAAATTTTTGTGCAGGCTTACTCACCACTGGGGTCACAAGAAGGTGGCAGAGATCTGATCCATGATCCAACGGTGGATGGGATTGCCCAGAAGCTCAACAGGACTCCAGCCCAAGTGTTGGTGAGGTGGGCCATTCAGAGAGGGACAAGTGTCATCCCCAAATCAGCTCATCCTGAAAGAATCAAAGAAAATATTGATGTTTTTAATTGGGAAATTCCAGAGCATGACTTCATTGCTCTTAGCAGCATATCACATCAGGTATTAATACGATTCTTCTGAGATAGTCCTGTTGCTGGGGTTAATAGCTGTTGAGAATCAGATGGCACATATGTAATTATGTATCGATATATTTGAATAATGGGGCTATTGGTGGATGCAGAAACGAGTTCTAGATGGTGAAGAGCTGCTTGTGAACAAGAGTGAGGGGCCCTACAGGAGTGTTGCAGACATCTGGGACCATGAAGACTATTAGTGACTGCTTTTCCTATTTCCTTTTTCTCTTTTCTATGGTTGTTCTATATTGTTGCTTTTAAGGGACTAAAATGACTTCAGTTCAAAGTTGTAATGTTAGTGCGAGCCCTGTGTGCGTAGGGTGTAGACATTGAAAATCTGTCGAGTCTCTTTTGACTTTATAATTGAAGTGTTTATTGGTTTATAATTGAAGTGTTTCTTAAAAGCATCAACACCTTTAAAATCTTTTTATGCCAGAGGGTTCTTTCCTTTTAAGTTCACAGTTCTGCCCAGCTAGAATACCCAGATTTATCTGTAACACGAGTGCTTATTTGGCTGTGAAATAAGAAACTTACATTTTTGGTGTACGTCCGTCGCATGCTTTTAACTGTGAGAAAATGAAGTACCGGTCGAGAACACCAAGAAACCAAAATTATGGAAATATAAATACCGTCCTAATTATAAGACTTTGTTTGTAGACTACAAACAAAGTGGAGGTAGTAATTACGATATGAGAACACTTCTATAATGATATTAGTCTCAGGCGGAGTTCAAAGACCCGACTGTGATATCCAGTTATCTTATAAACATATCTCAGGCGTTCTTGCAAATATGCAAACCTGAAAATGAGACCACAAGCAAAATTTTGAGCTGAAATAAATGTTATTGATATTTGTATCGCATTCCTCCATTCAGAACAGGCAAAACAAACTATAGAGCTATATATATTTGACATAGGTCTGACAGCTGATGACAGGCATTATGGGTTTAATATTGTTGCTCTCATTTCTCTCTAGTAGTAAATGCAAACATTGTCCGCTGTTATGATGTATATATCTGTTTAACTCACTTTTTAACCCCTCTATTTCAACCTAATAATACAACTAGAGGCCCAACCTTTGGCTATTAATAACTTGCCAAAAGGTCTCTCTCTAATCCACTGAAACTGAGTTATTGGTCTTGAGGGGCTATTTATGGCTGAACTAGAGAACTTGAACACCCTCAAGAAACTCAGATGGATGCCTCCTGCTCACATCCCTGATGAGGCCAGTAAGTTTCGATATAGTGTTGGCTCTGGACAACCCTTTAAGAGCTACCCATTCATCCTTCGACGTTGAACTATCTACGCTTGTGGTGTCTTCATTTCTAGCAGATTCATAGTGATTCTTCCTTCGGCGCCTATTTTTCCCAGATTTGGTTGAGTCTGGTTGGTCTTTCAGAAACAAACATATGGCTGCACAATCATCAACCATGGCACCAGGAAATTTATACCTCCATGCCTGCACAGCTCTCTTCACTAACAATCTCGCTGCTCTAGACCGCCTTGGTGCTGAAGCAACTATTTCTATAACTTCATCATTTGTCAGTGCATCCCAAACCTGCCAAACAAACAAATTAAATTCAGCCCTGCTTGGAATTTGTCGAAAGCAGTTTCTGTTTAATTTGGAGGGTGTGTCAAATGGAGGTACTAAACGAGGATTGTAGGCCTCCATAGGGATCAAAATCTTCATATCAAGCTCATTTTTATCATAATTACTAAGGTTTATGCCATGTAAGCGATTACCTCATTTCTTGTTCCAAGGGAACTTTACTTCCATATGGGAAATATCGGAAGATCAGGTTTCAACCTTTTGAAGATTAGATTTTTCATTGCTTACCCCATCAGTAGCCAGAACCACAAATTCATCCTGCTTCGTTAATCTGCGATAGAAGACATCGGGAGCTGAGATCAGGCCATAATCTTTTAAGCAGAAGTCCCCAAAGGCTCTTGACATTGCCAGTCCAGGGCAGTCTTCTTCTGGCATCCACATTCTGTACACATCAGGCTCTTCTTCTTCAGCGAAAATTCTGCCTTCACAGCTACGGATTCTTTCAGCTTCACCTGAGTGACAATCAAGAAGGAAAGCTAGTCAGACCCATGTGCTTGTCAGAATCAGGGATTTGAGGACAATGTAAAGACTTGCTTGGAATATCTGGTTTCAAGTCAACAGTAAGTTGAACAGGAATGAGTTGATCTGTAGCTCCTCTCGTGCAAAGAACCGCACGAGAGTCACCCAAATTGCCAATTATCAGCTGGTCACCCTGAAATTTCAAAGGAGGAAAAGAAATCATGTAATGAAAGGTTATCTTATGAACCAGATGACAACATAAACGCACTGAAAGGAATTCGTCAAGAGGGTGTATTTCGGCCCCACAAATAAAATTCATATCTCGTCTAGGCCTCCAATGACATCAATATATATTCTCAAAGAGTTGTACTATTCATAACTTGTGAATACAAACCCAAAATGCTCATGTTGATGAGTATTGGTCAACCCATTGTAAGCAAAAACACATATGTATCAAAAAAAAAAAATCTCCTAGGGGTACCTGTTTGATTACAGTTACAGCAGTGCTACCGCTGTAAAAACTGTCGGTGTTAATGTCCTGAGCAATGGCTTGATCCATCTCGTTGAAGGATTTCAAGAAGGTGTTCTCCCATGAAGCAAGGGACAATGTTTGATGATTTCCACCTTCTGCAGCAGCATTTGCATCATTATACATGCATATCTTTTGCTTTGACATCTTGATTGCTGCAGAAAGCTTTGAGGGTAGATGTTTGCGTATATATCGAGCAACCACGTGCCCATAAGGACCGTGACCATCGAACACACCACAAAAGATCATATCTTTTTCTCCATTGAAGTCCTAGTAACATATCATATCGAACATTAATCAGTACAAAACACAGGAATAAGATAAATCCATGCCTCTCTTGAGAAAGTTGTCCCCATTAATATCATCAAAGCATCATATAAAACGTATAACAACTCATGCTATTCGCAAGGTATAAATAATACAACTCATTTCATATTTTCTGTGAAGAAAAACTCAAGCTGTAGGCTCGCTTGATTAATGGGTCCTACTTGTGCTATTAAATTATCAGTCACATACAAACGGATGTTGCTTCTAAGTTTTAGGGGCAATACAGCTTATGATCTTGCTGAAAAACATGATTAAGGAGCCATCAAAATTGACGAAATCACCAAAACACGTTAAAAGAATAAATGGTGTGAGAATCAATTGACCAGAAACACAAGCTTGGTATCATATAAAGAAATAATGGAAATCGTATCAAAATCAGAAGAATTTATATATACCTCCCAAACTGTCATTGCATCTTGATTGACCCCTTTTCTTCCCTGCTGGCTGTACATTGACACAAGCCTAGAGTGTCCTCTTAGCCTGACTCGCCCTTCACCTTCACTATATGTGGAAATGGAACTATGGTCCTCTCCATGCTCAAATTCTGTCTCATTCACCTCTTTTTCCATTGAATATGGACGAGGAACATTGTTACTACAACAATTCCCCATATCTAGAGCCAAAACAATGGTATTTCCCAGAAGTAAAAATCACAAGGAAAAAGGGGACCCCTCAGAATTCTAAGGAATAACCGGAATAATTTCCTAGAAAACCACAGAGAAAGTGAAGGAAAATATTAAATTTTAGAGGGCAGAGCAGGCTAAGATTGATTGAAAAGCAGGGAGGAAAATGGGATGGAAACAGAAACTACAGAAACGGGGGAGAAGAACAAATATGCATGCGAAGACAGAAGAAGGTGAAGGGACATTGAAGAGAAGAAGTAATCATAATGGAAAAAAAGATTAAATCGCTACTGGGATTTGAGAAAAAGATGAAGAACAGGGCTCTTCAATGAATCGCCGGCGGGCAATCCTTAATGCAATTCTCACAAAGGAAGAGCAAAAAGGAAATGCAAAGATTAACGAAGTCTAAGGGATTCTCAAAAAGTTTGTTGCGCTGAAAATCATGTGGGAGAAAACGACAGCAAGGCATTACTTCTCTGAATTCTGAATGACCGTAACGAACATATATAATTGATTTTCTGCCATTAATTAATAATCATACGGAAATTGCCAGATAAGGACCACAACGTACATGGAAAAGAAAATGGCATGGAAGGACCGTAAATTTGCAAAATATGAAGGAAAATCAATGTTTTATAATCATAAAAATTAAAAAAAAAAACAAAACAAAAATAACCTCATGCAGAAATATTTTTTTTCACAGTTCTCAAAACGTCAATTGTAAATCTCATGAATTTAATTATAAATCTTGAAGTTCTATTATGTATAAATGAAAAATTATTGAAGTTTTGTAAATATAAAAAACTGAATTAAACCCTCAATTTATTTGTAAAAACACTTCATAATTTATATTACATTTGCGGCCAATCTTTTAATAGTTTTGATATTCATAAAATCTTCACTATTTACAACGTATTTACACCTAGCATTGTAATAGTTACAGCTAAATTGATGAGATTTGGAGCCGAGTTTCCAAATTCACAACTAAATATATTATTATTAGTGTAAGGGTATTTTTATTTTATTTATTTGATTTATCACATATTCATAGTCACTAGCATCATTTTTTTAGGAGAAATTGGAGATAAATCCCTCATTAAAAATTTAATTGGCAAATAGAACATAAAGACTTTATGCAACTTTATTTTTATTGTATGTAGCTTATCTTTTTTTTGTGTGCAATTTATCTTTTGTTATGTGCAATAATCTTTCTTTGTACGATATACAACTCAATTTTCTTTTGTGTAAATAAAATTCTCTTATGTACAAGTCATCTTCCCTATATATAAACTAATTCGTTATATCAAAATAATGTTTGTGCAAACTATTTTCCCTTCATGCAACTTACTTTCTTTTATATGCAACTAATCTTTTCTTTTGTAATCAATCATTCTATGAACCATTTACCAATTAGATTTATAATGAGGGATTCATTTCCAATTTTCTCTTCTTTTTTTATGCTCCATATATGGCATTCTCCCTTAATCATAGTAATCCCAAGTTAATCATGGTATCCATCTTTGGTGTTTTTATATATACATAACCAGATCTTTTTTTTTTGGTTGTGTTTATATTTTGCGAGAGCTTTTGAAAATGACTAATGAGCAATTAAATTTGACTTCGTAATGAAAAATTAAGCCAACTCATATCAAGTATTAAATAACTCAAATATGAATAATTGTTATGAGTATTAAAAGTTTGAATGAAAGGTAAAACCTAAAGTAGTATCATATATAACATAAACAAAACCTTTGATATGATTAAATGTTATTTGTAATGAAATAGGGAATAATAGAAGAAAGATTTCTCCTTACTCTAAAAAATAGGTGATATGTTAAGTACTGGAGGAAGTCTCCCAATTCTCTCTTTTCCGCATATCTATTGTTTTTCAAGTTATGATCTTTTATAAGATATCTCAAATTCATTCTATTCATTTCAATTTGTTTTAATAAGATTTATATTTTTCGTTTGCTTTTGATTTCACATAAAAGATTATTAAACCTGTGATGATTTTGCAATGGAGTAAAATTAAACACACTTCTAATCAGTGTAGTGTTTAATTAAGCATTCTAATAATTATATATATACTCTTCTAGTTCTAAATATAAGACTCTTATATAATTAGAGTATTACATTTAGGACCAAAGGAGTTTATATATATTGCCAAAGGCAAAGGGATAGGGCAATGTTCTTGGGAAATGATCGTTTGGAAATGGGCGTTTGGCTAAGGATAGAAGAATAAACAGAAGATTGACCAACTTGCTATTTTGGGCTTCTAAATTTGACCAACTTGCTATTTTTTTAAAAAAAAATCTTAAATTTTAAATGCACCTCTATCTCAAAAATAAATTATAGCAATAAATGGAAATGGATGCATGCACTAAAATTAGTTTTGGGCCTGAAGATAAACATTCTTGTTCGGACCCTATTTATTCCATAATCACACCGGCAGCTTTGATTTGAATATGGTTGCTGATGTGAAAGTTTGGTTCATAATTCATATTCAAATATTTTTATAAGCGTTTTTAAAGCCTCCCTTAACGCTATCACCAATTTTGTCACCAATTAATTTTCTCCGTACATTCTCTTTCAATATGGTTATCATTATTACTCTCTTTCTCTCTCTCATTTACCTACTTATAAATAAGGTCATATTTCCAAAAAAAAAAATACATTTCCCATATATTTATTATTTTTAACTCGAGGAAGTAATATTTTAGCTTAAAAAAATTTAGGAGAATTCTGATTAAATTCAGTTGATATATCAAAATTCAAATGAAAGCCTACACTTTTAACAAATTTCTAATTAGGCTAATAGGATTTATTAGGAATTTTTAAGTGTTGTTAGAAGACTAAAATACCTTTCTATAATTTAATATAATATTATTTTGAAAAACTTAAACCATGAAAACTTGACATTATATAGTACTTATTTATACAAAATGTTTTACATAAAAAAAATTTGAAAAATACTAAGAGCAAAATTTTAACATCATTAAAATTTTATACTAATTCTGATATATTATAAGAAATCTATAGGAACAGAGACTTTTTTTTGGTAATGGAAATAGGACTTTTTAATTACTTGATTTTAACATCATTAAATTAATCATTTTTTGAAGGAAATTTTTTTTCTTATAGTTGAAAAATCAGAATCTTAATGTATTAGTATATTTCAGCATCAAATTTGTCATTTCTTAAATACTTTGTTATATTTGCTATGCATATAGATGTTCTCATCATGTTATATCTTATAATCTTATTGCTAAATTTCTTACTAATAATTAATATGAGTTTGTATTAAAAATGTAAATAACTTTTTCAACATTTTATGGGACGCATGGAGTAATATTAACTTCTTAATATAAATTTATACAAAAAAATATCATACATTTTACTCTTTTAACAGTATTTGGAGTAAGAAACCCGTGAAGTTGCCAGTTCATCTAGCGGCATTTCAAGAAAAATAATTTAGATCATAAATTGATTGCAAATTACCAATCTGCAGCTTTAAATGGGTATTTTTCCTAACTAAGAATTTGTTAAAAGTATAGACCTTGATTTAAATTTTGATATTTCAACGGGATTTAATTAGAATTCTCCCAAAAATTTATGCATGCAAACAACTCAATTAATAAGATTAGAAAGTTAACCTTGGTTTGCCGCGTATCTTTCACTAAACCCCATATTTTCATTAATTTAACTACTATCTCTTCAAATTAGTTAACTGGCTCTTATAATTAGAACTAGAAGTAGTATAATTAGTTTTGTTTTTAGAATGATCATTGATCAAGCAGCTCCCTATTCTCGAGGAGCCAAATAACGTTACGGTACACACATGGCGGTCCCCACAACTATGACATGGGGGGATAGTTGCACGATCGAAGCGTGCTGAGCGGCTGAGCCCTCTGAGTTGAAAGTGATTGGGCTTTTATCCGTTGGACCACTTCAGGGTCAATATAGCCTTCCGCAAAATCTCATTATCAGCCAGATATTGTCTATAACAATTTTTAGAGTTGTCAATATGGATAATCAAAAGAAAATAAAATAGTTAAAATATTATCATAATAAAATAAATATAGACACATTTTTCAATGTAATATATGGGAAATTATTTGCATCGTTCATGTATTTTAAATAGGAGTAATTGCTTATAAATTTTATTATATCTTTTTTTAGCTGAATAAATTTTATTATATCTACTGTAATATATTGACGGGCAATGATCCTTGAAATACAAAAATATCAAATTTTTGTGCTAATAATTAATAAGATATTAAAAAAATTATAATAAATCAAAGAGTTATATGAATTATTAAATGGGAAAATTACTATAAAGAAGATAATTTAATCACCTAAAAGCCTGATACCAACTGAGAAGCATGCAAAGAAAATGAGCTGTTTATATTGTTCACTTGTTATTAAAAGACTTTCTGATAAGTAAATTTCTTTTTTGACACTTTATAATAATTCTCACTTAATTAAATCCATTGCACAACTGTGACAGTAGTAGTATCTATCGTATACAATGAATTAAATGAAGTAATGAATAGTAAATCCAAGCCAAATCTAAAGCATGGGTTGTCAAGTTAGAAGAATAAATAAGAATACAGCAAACAGAGTTTGGGAACCAAAGACAGAGGAGGACCCAACCTGTCAACATATCTGCCCACAAACTCACATTCTTTGGTACTTCATTCTCTCCTTTCACCATTCCCCACCATCCTTCCCCTTTACCCTCTCTCTCCTAATTTTGCTTTACAATTTCAGAATACATACTTGTTTATTAATTATATAAACAATGATTATAGTTTCTGCTGTTAAAACAAGTTTAGATTCTTGAAACAACCAATCACAACAGTGTAGGTTTAGTGTTACATAAACTCTCCTAATCCTTGAACTGTGTCCCCTAATTTTTAGCCATCAGTGAAAACAGGAGTTTTACTTTTACACCATGTTATCTCTGCATTTTTCTCACATCTAGATAATAACAGTGGCCCACATGAAAGGTGAAAATATCTTGGATGCTTTGGCTTTTGGATTTGGTTGAAAGTGTGTGATTGAAATGAATGTGGAGGTGGAATCTTGAACAAGCCAGCTAGGATGCAACCAATAATGGTCAACTTTGATATCTGTTTTCGCTGTCCCTCATAAATCTGCCCATACAAAGCTTCCTTCTTTCTTCCCCGTGCTTCAACCACCCATTGCCCTTTCCTCTCTAATCCTACCCCACACGCCTCAAAAAGCCTTCCTTGATTGACTCAATTGCTCCGCTCGACAAAACTTCATTAAAATATTCTTCTATACCACCCCAGCAACCACTCCAACTATTACTTTTAACTCTGTTTTATCATGCAGTACAAGTTCTGTTTAAGTTAGCATAAGCTGTCA